TGGGCTGGGTATCCCAAACACCCCAAATGTTCGTCTCAGACATGGAAGTTGACTTTTTTTCCAAACATCCAACTTGACACTTGGCAGTGTCCAAAACATGTTTGTAGAATGAATGATGAACAAATAAATGAATTTAAAAAGACATTATTACAGTGAGATATCATCACACACCACAGAGACTGGCACAAAGCTAAAAGAACAAGAACAACCAGTGCTGGCATGAATGTAGAGAGAAAGGGACTTTCTTTCACTGTTGGTAGGAATGCCGACTGGTCCAGCATTTTTGAAAAACAATGTCGGTGTTCCTTAAAAAACTAGAAATTGAGCTTCCATATGACCCAGCAGTACCACTTCTGGGAATATATCCTGAGGGTGTAAAAAAGCACAGTAGAAATGACATCTGTGCCTGTATGTTCATTGTAGCACTGTTTACAATAGCCAGAATCTGGAAACAACCTGGGTGCCCCAGAACAGACACTGATTAAAGAAACGTTGGTACATCTACACAATGGAATACTATGCAGCTGTTAGGAGAGATGAAATTTGCTTGTAAGTGGATGGTCATGGAGAGTATCATGCTAAGTGAAATGAGTCAGAAAGAGAGGGACTGACATAAAATAACTGCACTCATGTGTGGAATATAAAATAACATAATAGGAGACTGGTACCCAAGGACAGTAGAGACAAGGGCCAGGAATATTGCTCCATAGTTCAAAACCTGCCTCATGAGCTGGGGGAGAAGGCAGCTGGAATAGAGAAGGGATCACTAAGACAATGATGGTTGAAGGGATTGTTTGGGATGGGAGATGTGTGCTGAAAGTAGAGAAAGGACCAAATCTGATAGTCTCTCAGTATCTGTATTGCCCACAATGATGTAGAGAGAGAGTATGGGGGAAATAGTCTGCCAGAGAGGCAAGGGAAAGGATGGGATTCGTGGGGGTCAGGGAACAGGGGACATTGGTGGTGGAAAGTGTGCACTGGTGGAAGGGTGGGTATCATTGTATAACTGAAACTCAAACATGAAAACTTTGTAACTGTATCTCACGGCGATTCAATTAAAAAAAAAAAAGATCTTATTCCTCAGTGGCTATCTCTTTCAGGGTCAGGGGAATGAGACCCATTGTAATTACTGGAACAAACATCTCCGAATGCAACGGTTATGTGTACCTAGGTCGAGAAGTCAACATGACGAATGACCTGGCACTTGAGTTGCACAGGCGGAAGAGAGAGACAGGGCTAGCATCCCTTGGCATAACATCCTTGGATAGGACTCTAAAAACATCTTATTGGACTGGGGAGACAGTGCAAAGGGCCCACGGCAGGGTTTGATCTCTCCAACACTGCAGGAAGTCACCCCCGAACACCCCTGGCTGTGACATAATAAAGGATTTAAGAATGAACAAGTTGGCTGGACCGGTAGAACAGTGGGTAGAGCATTTGGGCTGACCCTGGTTCCATCCCGGCATCCCATATGGTCCCCTGAGTACCACCAGGAGTGATTCCTGAGTGCAGAGCCAGGAGTAACCTCTGAGCATTGCTGGGTGTATCCCAAAAAGACCATTGTCACTGTCACTTTCCTCCCGTTGTTCATCGATTTGCTTGAGCGGGCCCAGTAACGTCTCCATTGGAGACTTTGTTGTTACTGTGTTTGGCATATCGAATATGTCACGGGTAGCTTGCCAGGCTCTGCCATACAGGCGAGATACTCTCAGTAGCTTGCTGGGCTCTCCGAGAGGGGCGGAGGAATCGAACTCGGGTCGGCCATGTTGGCTGCGTGCAAGGCAAATGCCCTACCACTGTGCTATCGCTCCAGCCCAACCCAAAAAGACAAAAAAAAAAAAAAAGTCTGATATAGTACAGCACTTAGGGGGAGCTCGCACACGGCTCAGGTTTGATTTCCTGGCACTACATGTCTCCCCGCCCTCCCCACTCCCAAACACACAACCTTCTCAGCACTTCCAGGTGCATTGCTGGGAGGCTTCAAGTACCCCAAGGTCACTGGGGTAGCCCCTGGACCTTCTGAGCACCACTTGAGAAAACCTTCAATGAAAACAAAGAAAAAAAAAAGGGCCAGAGTGATTGTAGGGTAGGTGAGGTGTTTGCCTTGCACACAGTGGACCCAGGTTCGACCCCTGGCATCCCAGGAGTGATTCCTGCATGCGGAGCCATGAGCCCTGAGCTCTGCAGGGTGAGACCCCAGAACAACAAACCAACCAACCAAAAAAGGGAAAAGATACTCGACACACGCTCATTTAAAATGAACTAAAATACGGTGATGTGGGCTCCGGTACTAGGGTGAGGTCAGGCGTGGAGGTGGCTGGGACCGAGCCAGAAGTTGGGGTTTGCTTCCTGTTCCCCACAGGGTCAAGATGCCAGCCCGAGACCAGCCTCACCTGGAGGGCAGAGCAGCAGGGCCATGGGAAGTGTGGCCCTTCAGATCTCTTTCTATATCTTCCCTCTGTGCTGGTCTCTCCATAGTCCCTTCTCATTGCTAAGATGCTGGACCAATGGACCTCTTAACCTGATGTCCTCTGCAAAGACCCGATTCCCAAATACCTTTACAGCCATTGCTACCAGGACCTGGGACTACTTGAACACAACACTTCGGCATCACACATGTAAACTTAGTTCAGAACTAAAGTATTTCTGCTGACTCAAGGGACAAAGAGTGAAACTAGGGACTAGCCAAGACTGAGCACTGACAACCATCTCACTTTAGAAAGTCCAAGTCATCGTTCATAAGGGCAACTGAGAGCTGGGTGATGGGGAGAGGAGGAAGGAAAAAAATTGTATCTCTACATTAGGGCACTGCAAGTTTGACAAACAAGGACGAACATAAAAGGCTGTGGGAGTGTGTAGAGGCAGATGCAACTTCCATGAATATTTTATTTGATCAAATTTAGCCACGTACTCACAACTAAATTTAAGATAGGAGGGAAAAAAATTAATGAAAATGTTTTCTAAAACATTTATTCAAGTAGAAAAAGAGGCTCTTAGCTCAGCAGAGTCCATTAGCTTTCCATGTGTGAGGCCTTAGCTTCAATCCCTGGACTACAGAAAATGAGTAAGATTAAGAATAGAAGATGGGTGCTGGAGCACAGCGGGTAGGGTGTATGCCTTGCACGCAGCCGAACCAGGTTCGATTCCCAGCATCCCATATGGTCCCCTGAGCACCACCAGGGGTAATTCCTGAGTGCAGAGCCAGGAGTAATCCCTGTGCATTGCCAGGTGTGACCCAAAAAGATTAAAAAAGAAAAAAAAAAAGAGTGATCCCTGAGTGTAGAGCCAGGAGTAAGTCTTAAGCACTGCCTGTGTGACTTCAAAATGAAAACCAATCAACCAATCAACCAACCAACCAACCAACCAACCAACCAACCAACCAACCCAAAAGTCTAAATCAGTCCCTAGAAGTTTGCTTGTGGAATGCATTGCAGAAAGGCCACGTTTACCACGCAAACCCTGATACTCTCAGCTAGATCTAGACCTGGAAGACACTGGTAGTTCTGGAGAGGTGGCAACTTCCAACGGGCAGGCAGATTGGGGAACGGCATGGGCTGGGGGATGGGGGAGAGAACGCTTCAGATGACCCTTTCTGGAGGAGGACCATACCCAGATGCTCAGGGCCCCATGTGGTCCCGGGGTTTGAACTCAGGCTGGCCCCCCACATGCCAAGCCTGAGTTCCAGGGCCAGAGAGATGGTACAGTGGGTGGGGGCATTTGTCTTGAAGGCAGAGGACACAGGTTTGATCTGGCATGAGGTCCCCTGAGCATGGTCAGGAGTGAGCCCAGAGCACAGAGACAGGAGTAAGCCCTGAGCACAGAGCCAGGAGCAAGCCCAGAGCCCAGAGCCAGGAGTGAGCCCTGAGCACAGAGCCAGGAGTGAGCTCTGAGCACCGCTGGGTGTGACCCACACTCCTCTCCTCTGTACAGCCCATTCTGTCAAAAACAAAACCCAAAAACCCTGAAACCCCCCAAATCTGCACCGCAGTCCTTTGAACCATCTCTCTGGCACTTTGGATGATTTTTGGGCAAATCTTGGAGAGGTATTGTGTGTTTTGGAGCAAATGAAATTGTGCATCAAGATACATTCTCTTGCAGTGCGCCACAGAGCAGGGCCCTCAGAGGGTGCAGGATGGGCACCCAGGAAAGACGCCCGGGCCGGGGCTTCTCTGGAATATGCCTGGGGAACACGGAAGATATTCCGGGAAACTATTTTTACTTACGCGTCTTTCAGGACAATCGCTTCTTGTTTGATCCTGAATCCTCGGCTTTGTCTTCACTTTTTCTAATTTTATATGATCGTAGGAAAATCCAGAAACAAAGGCTCAGGCTCTCCCGGGAAGAGGGGACAGGACCACAAAACAGTCTGGACTGCCCCTGAAGGGCTGGGTGAAAGGAACAAACTGAAGTCCCAGTTCCTTTTCTTTGCCCTCTGGGACCCTGGGCCATTGAGATTTGTTCATGGTAGAAGAAACTCGCATAAACCCAGTTTTCAGGCTAAATGATATAAGCTCTGTGATCATGAAAAAAAAAAAAAAGGTTCGGGATATAAAATGTACTTTGTTTCAAGGGACTGTCAGAACACTGCAGGGAAAAATTTTATAATGGTCCAGATATTTCTTTGGTTAGTTTTTTTGGGGTCACACCCTGTGGTGCTCAAGGGACTGTATCGGATGCCAGGGATCAAGCCCATGTTGGCTTTGTGCAAGACCTTACCTGATGTCCCATGGCTCTGGCCCTGGACCAGATATTTCTGTGTGGTGTGATGTTTAGAACATTCTGGATGCATTTCTGATTTCCCATGATACAGACGCCAGGTAGCAGTTACAGTGACCCCAGTACAACCCAGCACCAATCCACTGGGTTTTCCAGATACACTATTATTTTCAGTTCAAAGACTCCACAGACAAAAACGCCACGGGGTACCTCTGAGTTCACACTCTTTTAATCCCTTGTTCCCATAAAGTAAACATTCCAACCTATAAGCAGTGGGAAGAAAATTCTTTTCTTTCAAACTTGGTGGAGGTCCGTTTCTGAAGTAGAGAAATACTCTGTTGCAAACAGTATTCTCTTGAAAGAAGAATCAATCTTGGGTCATTTCACCTTTTCCCTGGGTTTTGTAACCAGTGTATTTCAACTTCATCTTCTCCTCCAAATGCAGTAAAAAGGCAAGGCGTGAGTTTGTGATTTTGGGAGCCTGCAAGAAAAAAAAAAGTTTCAGTGGTTTAGGACGTGGCCTTTCTCCTCTGGTGTTAAACTGTTAAGAAAATGCAGGTTTAAAGTTGGAGGCCTTGGTGGTGGAAAATGTGCTCTGGTGGGGGGATGGGTACTTGATCACTGTATGTCGAAATGTAATCGTGAAAGTTTGTAACTGTATTTCATGGCGATTCAATGAAAAAAATTAAGAAAAAAAGTTTTCAAAGAATCTAGAGTGCAGCAATGACTGGTGATAATACAAAACTGTCTAGAAAGCATGAAGGTATGAAGAAGGCATAGTAATGGCTGGTCATACAAAGGATCCTTGAGGAGTTGTCACTGTCACTGTCCTCCTGTTGTTCATTGATTTGCTCGAGCGGGCCCAGTAACGTCTCCATTGTGACACTTGTGTTTGGCATATTGAATACATCATGGGCAGCTTGCCAGGCTTTGCCATGTGGGCGAGATACTCTCAGTAGCTTGCCGGGCTTCCAGAGGGGTGGAGGAATCGAACCTGGGTTGGCCAGGTTGGCCATGCGCAAGGCAAATGCCCTACCCGCTGTGCTATTGCTCCAACCCCTTGAGGAGTTAATTATTGGAAATTTTATTCGAACAACAAATAGAACACTGAGGACATACTTAAACTGTGTTAAGGAACATAGGTTAAATAAAAAGAGGAACTGTGTTATTATTGGAACTTTTCCTTTCTTTCTTTTTTTAAAATGTAGGAGTACTGCTATTTATTCAGCCATTGATTAATAAAACATTTTTTCTATGTTGGTGCTTTTCTAGAATTTTGAGAAGTCTAAAATTTTAAACCTGTTGTATTCTAATTAGTGATGCTTGGATAAAATATATTTTAATATTTATGAAAACCCTTCTATGATTTTCCTATTTTCTTTTGTATAGTTTTCTACTGAGCACTCTGATTTTCAATATTGTTAATAACAGCATGATGAAAGAAATAAAGTTGGAGACCAAGAGAGAACCAGAGCAGCTGAGCGAGTCTAGTTACAAGACAAAGAGACCTTTTATGTTTTGTTTTTGGGCCACACCCTGTGGTGCTCAGGGCTCTGCACTCAGGAACCACTCCTGGTGGGGTTGGGTGATCATGTGGGATGCCAGGGATTGAAGCCGGGATGCTGCAAGGCAAGTGCTCTCCTAGCCAAGGCTGAGACTCTTGTTATGACTCTCTCTCTCTCTCTCTCTCTCTTTTTTTTTTGGCTTTTTGGGTCACACCTGGCGATGCATGGAGGTTACTCCTGGCTCTGCACTCAGGAATTACTTCTGGCGGTACTCAGGGGATCATAAAGGATGCTGGGAATCGAACCTGTGTGGTCGGCCGCGTGCAAGGTAAATGCTCTACCCGCTGTGCCACTGCTCCAGCCCTCCTGTTACGACTCTTAATGATTAATGGAGAGTCAGTGGCTAATTAGACTCTCCACTGTTCTGTGGTTGCCGGCAGCTTCCTGCAACTTTCTCACAAATGTACAGATGCGTGGACATTCAGATGGACATGGGCAGTAATCCCACGGCTTTTAAATTGGGGGTGTCCCGGCTCCAGGAGCCTAACCCGGGGGAAGGTTGGGAAGTTTAGATTCCGAACTTCTCTCTGAGAGCATGTACAGCAAATAAGACTTGAAAAACTATATGAAGGGGGGCTGGAACCAACAGTGGAGAGGGTGCTTGCCTTGCAGGCTGACCTGGGTTTAATCCCTAGCACTCCCTAGGGTCCCCCAAGTCTACCAGGAGTGATTCAAGAGCCAAGAGCAACCCTTGAGCAGTACTTGGTGTGGTCCCAACCAAAACAAAGTAAAGTAAAGTAAAGGCCCTCCCGTTGATCGTCGATTTGCTCGAGCGGGCCCAGTAACGTCTCCATTGGAGACTTTGTTGTTACTGTGTCTGGCATATCCAATACTCTCGGTAGCTTGCCGGGCTCTCCAAGAGGGGCAGAGGAATCGAACTCGGGTTGGCCATGTTGGCTGCTTGTAAGGCGAACGCCCTACCCGCTGTGCTATCGCTCCAACCAAAACAAACAAAAAAAGAAAAAAAATGCATGTAGGAAAGTAGGCAATCCGGAACTTATACTTTGGCTAATGTATTGGTATTGTTACTTTCTCGCAAAGAAAAGGTTGGCCTTTTTCCAAGCCAACCATCTTTTTGAAAGAGAGAAGACCTCACTGCATTTCATTTTTTATTCTTATTTTTTGCTTTTTGGGGTCATACCGAGCAATGCACAGGGGTTACTCCTGGCCCTGCACTCAGGAATCATTCCTGGTGGTGCTTGGGGGACCATATGGGATGCTGGGTGTACGATAACACTATTTTGTCCTTCCTCAGGTAGCTTAGGTGTATTGGGTCATACCCAATACTCAGTGCTCCTGAGTAATTCCCACTTTTGTTTATTTGTAACTACTTCTCTATGCTCTCTTCCCCAAACAGTTAATCAGCTTATTCCCCTAATCAGATTTGGCTAATTTGTAAGGTCAGATCCATCTAAGGACACTGAACTTGTATTGTAAGTTATGTCTTTTGAATAGTTTACCTTAAAGCAATGTCCTTTCTGTAGAGACACAGGAAAACAGTTAATAGGCTGGAGCGATAGCACAAGCGGTAGGGCGTTTGCCTTGCACGCAGCCAACATGGCCGACCCGAGTTCGATTCCTCCGCCCCTCTCGGAGAGCCCGGCAAGCTACCAAGAGTATCTCGCCCGCACGGCAGAGCCTGGTAAGCTCCCCGTGATGTATTCAATATGCCAGGCACAGTAACAACAAAGTCTCCAATGGAGATGTTACTGGGCCCGCTCGAGCAAATCGATGATCAACGGGAGGGCCTTTATTTATTTGTAACTTGGGAGTTGATTGACTCCGAATAATATTTACTCCTGGGCATCTGCTTTCTTGACTCAGTTGCCCTTAGTTCCTAGCATTCCAAAAGCAGGGTTCTAACGAGGGACTGAATGGACCCAGGGCAAGCTGTGAGCTAGCCTGGGAGCTGGGAATCGAACCCGGGTCAGCCGCATGCAAGGCAAATGCCCTACCTGCTGTGCTATTGCTCCAGCCCCCTCACTGCATTTTATAAACAAGTAAGAGGGCTGGGGAGATGGCTCCATGGGTCCGAGCATGTGCATGTGGGAACTCCTGGGTTTGGATCCCAGCACCACAGGGGTCTCCTGAGCCCCGAGCAGCTCCTGTGCATGGATGGTTGTAGCTGTCCCTCAAACAAAACAAACAAAAACTAAGAGCAGCCAGAGAACTAGCATGGGGGTTCAGGCACTTATCTTGCATGCGATCAACTCTAGTTTGATCCCTGCCCACAGGTCCTTGCGGCCCTACCTGGAGTGATCCCTGATCACAGAGCTGGGACGAGGCCCTGAGCACCACCAGGTGTGGTCCCCAAATCCTGACAGACAGACAAACAAAACCCTGAGCCTAATTTACAAAACATCTAAGTTCCAGGAAAAAAAAAATCATGAGTTCACCACTTGTGGGGAAATGTAAATGCAATCACTGGCCTTTCATCTGAATTTGCTCATGAAAGAATTTATCTCTGGGGCCAAGAGTTTTCTTCACTGGAATGAAGAAGGGAAAGGCAGCAGCCAGCCAGGATGCTCGGTTAGCCTGGGAGGGGGGGATGGTGAGGCGACCAAGGAATTGGGGACCTGAAACACTCCCCCTAGCCTGACTGCACAAAGGAAAAGGGAAAAGGAAGCTTTGGAGCAGGACAAGTAGGAACAGAAAGAAAGCAATTCAGGTGGTTGGAGGGAGGCTAGCTGGCCACAGATCCTGGCCTCTGAGCTGGGCGGCGGGTTACTTCCTTCCTTGCTTCTGGTGACCCTAAGATTAGGGCAGCACAACCTGGAGAGAGATGGGAAGGCGGGGATGCCCGTTGACTCGCCCCTGTCACTTTGTCTCTAACAGTTTTATGTCAAAAGGAACTCAGGGCCTGGAGCTATAGCACAGCGGGTAGGGCATTTGCCTTGCACGTGGCCGACCCAGGTTCAATCCCCAGCATCCCATATGGTCCCCTGAGCACCGCCAGGAGTAATTCCTGAGCATAGATAGAGCCAGGAGTAACCCCTTAGCATTGCTGGGTGTGACACACACAAAAAAGGAACTTAGGGTTTTGTGGCTTTATTTTTGGGGTTTGGATCCCACCGAGCAGTACTCAGAAGCTACTCCTGGCTCAGTGCTCAGCGGGCCACATGTGGTGTGCAGGATGGAACGCAGACTTCCTGTATCAAAGCACGTGCTCAGTCTGTTGAGCTATCGCTCTGGTATTGGGACTCTGTATTTTAAGAAAACTCAAAATTGGACAAAAAAAAAGTAAGATAGTTTGATTATGGATTAGGAAAAGATCTGTAATCTTTCCTGTAACCTGTCTGGTGAAAATATGATAAAGAATCAGTGCTTATTTCACGGGGATGAAAAACAAAATTCAGTAAAAGTTTTTTTTTGGGGGGGGGGTGGGTTGGGATGGGGAAATGAAGAATTTCCTAAAGGTAAAGTTTCCAAACATTCCATCTGAGGAAGGGGTGATTTAATCAGGTTCAGATGTCCATGAAACAGTGAGAGATCTTTATCTTTAGATTCAATCTTAAGATTGAACAAGTGCCATCGCTCATGGAAGCTATTTGTCCTCTAGTCTACTTTGGCCTTGCTCGGATGTGATAAAGAGCCCTCTTTCAACCCCAAGTATGGGGGATGGGGTGACGAACAGTCAACCCCTCTTGGAGGTAGGAGGGGAGCACTGAGCTGTGCTCGGGGCTTACTTTGGGCTCTGTGCTTAAGGATCACTCCTGGCAGGGCCTGGGGGACTATATATGGTGCTGGGAATCAATCCTGGTCAGGTATGTGCAAAGCCAGCACCAGTGACCACTGTATTATCTCTTTAGCCCTAGTCTTTTATCTTGAAGCATAAGGTGATAAAGAATTTTTACTTATTTATTTATTTTTATTAGTGAAACACCATGAGGTACAGTTGTAGACTTACAAATTTTTGTGCTTGGGTTTCGATTATACAATGATCAAATACCCGATAAAGAATTTTTAAGCTTCTTCTTGAAAAAGATACTTTGCGGGGGGGATGTTATTTTGTTTTGGGTCACACCCAGCAGTGCTCAGAGCTTATTCCTGGCTCTGTGCTCAGGGAACATTTTGGGGGTGCCAGGGATCGAATCTGGGTCAGCCACATGCAAGGCAAGCACGCTTCCCACTGTACTATCTCTCCGGCTCTGAGAAATACTTTGAAGACTAAGAATCACAGAGTCCCTGTGCTCTCCCAAGGATGCCAGAAACTGCACAACTGACTGCGTGGCGGTAAGGTCCTGTCCACAGAAGGGAGGGGGGCAACAGTCATCCTCAGGACCGACTTTTGCTTAATGTAAGTATCACAGACACTTTCTGCTCCAAAGGCAATTGAGTGAAGACATGAGTATGGATTCCATGCCTTCCTGTGTGTGAAAATGCAAGAAAAAGTGTTTTTTTGATGAAAACAGTAAACATTTCTGAACCCGAAGCCCAGTCCATCTGACTCCATAATAAACGCAACTTTGCACAGCACAAAACCAAGAAAGAGACGATTTGAATTCTTCAGAAACTTGGCCCAACTGCATGATATTCATTTGAATCCTGCCAAGACCCAGAAACATGATAAAGGTTCAGAAGGAGAAACCAAGAGGGACCCCCAAAAACCACAAACAAAACCCCAAACTCAACGACCCCCAATCCAATCACTTCCCAAGAAAGAAAAGGGATGGGGGTGGGATCGATTTTACTGGGACAAACCAGTTCTTTTCATGAGTTCTACTGGACGGTAGTGGAAAGGCTTGCTTGGGCCCTTAGTCCAGCAGCGAAGGCAAAGCAACGCGAACCAGAAAGGTCTCCTGGGAGCTAAGGGCTTGAATTCTGGAAATTTCTTGGCATTTCCACCCCTCCCCCACATGGTTAGTAGGGGGGTAAAGTGATTGGAGAAGGCGGTCAGGGGAGCAGGAAAGAGTCACCCCCTGTGCCAGGTCTGCTGCATGGTGGGGTGGAGGGGGGTCACCCCACAAACAGCCGACCCACCCGCAATCCCCTCTCCTGAGCAAAGCTACCAGCCAGGTACTTCCTCATCTCACACCCGCATCTGTTCCACCGGACGGGCATCCAAGTTAACATTCTTGAGGGCCCAAGAGAAGCCATCAAGGTTAAGGTGCTGTTCCACCATGCAGCTGTGGACACCGTGACACGGGTCAGAACCCGGGAACTGCATATGGGTCTCAGAGCACCCGCTGGGTGTGCTCCCCCTTCCCCCCACACACAACAAAACAAAAAGTCAAAAATTTTTTTTCTGTTGAGGGGCTGTTTTGGGGACCACACCAAGCAGTGCTCAGGGGCTACTCCTGGTTGGGTGCTCAGGGATCACTCCTGGAGGTGCTCAGGGGACCAAACATAGTGCTGGGGATTAAAGCAGGGTCAACCGTATGAAAGGTAAGCGCCTTAATCCTTCATTATCTCTCTGGGGCCAAGAGTTAACATTTTGTTTGCGGGGGATGGGGGGATGTGCGGGGGGCATATCCAGCAATACTTTTTTAAAAAATTTTTTATAATTTTATCCATTGAATCACCGTGAGAGCAGTGACAAAGCTTTCAGGTCTAAGTCTCCGTCATACAATGAAACACCCGTAACACCCGTACCTTCACCAGTGCCCATTCTCCACCACCAAAAACCCCAGTATGCCCCCATCCCACACCCTCCCCCTACCTGTGGGGCAGATGATTTCCACATTACTCTCTCTCTACATTGATCACATTCAATATTTTGACGCCAGACCCACCATTATTATTTGAGATTTTACTCCAACACTCAGATCTGATCCAGTGATACTTAGGGCTTACTCCTGACTCTGAGCTCAGGGATCACTCCTGGCAGTCTGGGGGGATTATATGGGATGCTGTGAGCCAACCTGGGCTGACCGCACTTTACCCACTGTACCATTGCTCTAATCCCAGGTGCTAACATCATTAGAACCTGTGTCATGAAGAGCTACAGCCCAGATTTAAATTCTGGAAGAAAGGCTAGTACAGGGTTAAAAGTACTGGCCTGCCATGAGCCCAGCCATGGTTTGATCCTGCCACTGTATCACCCCTGAGCAGTGCTGGGAGTAACCCTCAAGCATAGAAGTAGCCCTGAGCACTAGAGGGTGTACCCCTATTTCACCCAACACCATCACCATCACCCAAATAAATTCTGGAACAAGAACAAATGTCAGGCTGGAGAGATAGTACAGCAAGTAGGGCAACTTGCCTTGCATGCAGCTGACCTGGATTTGATTCCTGGCATCCCATAGGGTCCCCTGAGCTTACCAGGAGTGATCCCTGAGCACAGAGCTAAGCGTTAGCTTTGAGTCCTGCTGGGCGCGGCCCCAAACCCAAACGGAACAAAAAACTTAGTAACTTTCTTTTTCTTTTTCGTAATGTCAGAGACCAAATGAAGGTCTTATGCATGCAAGGAACACACTCTTCCCCAGAGTCCCAAACAGAACCAGGAAGTTCTGATAGCACACCAGGTGTTTGCCTTGTATGAAGCTAACCCAGGATTGATTCCAGGTATCCCACAGGGGTCTCTGAGCACCTCCAGGAGTAATTCCTGAGTGCACAGCCAGGAGTAACTCTTAAGCATTGCTGGGTATGACCCCCAAAAGCCAAAAACAAGAAGAAAACAAAAACCAAACAGAACCAGAAGGGAATGAGGTTCCTTGAAGATGATCAGATGGTAGCCAAGTCAGAGATACATGATTCACATTCTGGAAAGTCTGGAGTCTGGGCTTATCAAGGGCCTGTGTGCTGAGCCATGCCTGGAGCTGTTATAAAGCTGGCATCAGAGCTCACTCAGGGAATTCTCGATCAAGACCTTCTTATGTATCCGAGGGGAGGCAGTGCTCAGGGCTTACTCCTCACTCTGTGCTCAGGGATCACTCTTGGAGGGGCTTGGGGGACTATAGATGGTGCCAGAGTTCAAACCATACAAGGCCAGCACCCCGCCTGCTGTACTATCTCTCCAGCCCCACAATGAGACCATTTACATGACCAAGTATTAAAATTTAAATAAAACTAGGGCCGGAGCGATAGCACAACTGGTAGGGTGTTTGCCTTGCACGCGGCCGACCCGGGTTCGATCTCCGGCATCCCATATGGTCCCCGAAGCACCACCAGGAGTAATTCCTGAGTGCAAAGCCAGGAGTATCCCCTGAACTTTGCTGGGTGTGACCTAAAAAGCAATCAATCAATCAATCAATCAATCAAACTGAAGGCACAAGGTGGCTGGAGAGATAATTCTGGAATGGATCATGTCATGGCACACGCAAGGTCAAGCTTGATCCCCTGGCACCTGATGATCGCCTAAGCATCATCTAAGTACCACTAAGTGGGACCTCTGTTTAAAAAAAAAAAAAAAGAGGAAGTAAAAAAAGTAGGACAGGGGCCGGAGCAGCGCTAGTACAGTGGGTAGGGCATTCACCTTGCATGCGGCTGACCCGGGTTTGATTCCCAGCATCCCATATGGTCCCCCGTCATGGCCAGGAGTAATTCCTAAGTGCAGAGACAGGAGTAACCCCTGAGCATCACCAGGTGTGACCCACAAAGCCAAATAAAAAAAAAAGAGCAGGACCGGGGCTTAAGCCCTCTGAGCACCATCAGGGTGACCCCGGATATCCCATGCTGGGAGGGATCCCCAAGACCCCCACCCCCAAATCAACATACAAACCCAAACCCCAAACCCCACCGAGCTTACCGGAAGTGGTCCGTGGGCACCGTGATGCTTCAGAACAAGCCTGTGATCTGCTCCGTGTCTGGGTCCAGATCGATGTCATAGAAGCAGGGCCGGGTGGGTAGCCCGGGCATGGTGCTCATCTGTAGGAGGAAACACAAGTCGGCTGAGTGGGGGGCCAGCGGGGTGAGCACCCCAAAGGCAGGGCAGCCAGGGACGCAGCACCGGAAATGCACCTCACACCATTCATCCACCCACCCCCCAAACTTGGTGTCCCCTTGGGGGACACTTGGGTACAGGCACGTGTTCCAACTTGCCATCCTCCTTGGTCAATCTGTGTGGAAAGGATGAGGACAGGGAGCTGGCTATGCCAGGATACTGGATTTTACTCCTGGCGGTGCTCAGGGGACCATATGGGATGCGGGGAATCGAACCCGGGTTGGCCACGTGCTACCGTGCGAACGCCCTACCCGCTGTGCTATTGCTCCAGCCCCTATGGTTGGTTTTTAGGCCATACCTGGTGGTACTCAGGGGTTACTCCTGGCTCTGTGCTCACTCCTGGAGGGACTGTATATGGTGCCAGGGATTATAGCAGTGTCAGTCACGTGCAAGGCCAGGGCCTTAACCTCTGTGCTCTCTCTCTGTCTATCTCTGACACAGCTTTCTAGAAATTGGGGACATTCACCTCCCAGCCTGGGCGCACTGTAGCATACTGAAGCTCTCCACACGCTTTCCCCTAGATCTGCTTCTAATGTAGACCTCCGAGAAAAAGGAGCCATACGGCTGATGGGACCCATGAACACCCGCCTCATGCCAGCACATGTTTTGGTTAACTCTCTACTCTGAAAACTCAGTCCTCTAGCTCCAAAGACTGGAGCCACAACAGGAAGACACGTTTATTGAGCAACTGCCACATGCCAGGCATACTGTTTCACTGAATCTTTTTTTTCTTGGGGAAGGAAGAAGAGATATGGGGGGTGGTTTGGCTTATTCCTGGTGATGCTCAGGGGTTACTCCTGGCTCTGCACTCAGGAATCACTCCTGACAGTGCTTGGGAGGCCATATGGGATGCTGGGAATCGAATTCAAGTCGGCTGTTACAAGGCAAACGCCCTCCCCACTGTACTATCACTCCAGTCCCTAGATATAATTTTTATACATGCTATAAACTAATATATATTAGATTTATAGTTTTCTTTGGTTTTGGGACCACACCAGTGGTGCTCAGGGCTTACTCCTGGTTCTACACTCAAGGATCATTCCTGGTGGAATAGGGTGGGCGGGGGGAGGGGGATGACCATTTGTGGTTTTTGGGGATTGAACTAGGCTCAGCCGCGTGGAAGACAAAAACCTTAACCTCTGTACTATCTCTTCAGTTCTAAATTTAAGTTTAAGAATGTATTTTTTTCCCTTGAGTTTTCTTTTCCCCCCATGACTATTGAACCTGTTTCATTTCTCTTGAGTAGACAACCAGGATAGATGGTAAGTGCATCTTGGGACTGGAGCAATAGCACAGCGGGTAGGGCGTTTGCCTTGCACGCGGCCAACCCGGGTTCGAGTCCCAGCATCCCATATGGTCCCCTGAGCACCGCCAGGGGTAATTCCTGAGCACAGAGCCAGGAGTAATGCCTGTGCATCACCAGGTGTGACCCAAAAAGCCAAAAAAAAAAAAAAAAGTCACCAGAACCAATAAATGTTAAAAAAAAAAAAGAAGGTAATTGCATCTTACTTAACCTTTATATTTTTTTGAGTGGTGCTGGGGGTTACTCCTGGCTCTGTGTTTTGGACGGTTACTCCTAACTGTACCAAGGTGACTAGGCTGTGTTGAGGATTGAAGCCAGGCCCTCCTCACCCTGTGCCCAGCGTGGACGCAGTGCCTTTCTTTAATCTTTATAGAAACTCCCCAGGAGTTTTCCACAGGGATTACACTATAATCTGTCCTCCGGGTGGACAATCTGTGACTGGGCGGTCCAGCTGTTTTGGCAGTTTTACTTCGGGGTGATCCTACTAAGGCTCTTCTCGCTAATCTGGGATACCAGCAAGACAGGGTCTCTGCAGGATCTTATTTTGCATTTTGTCATATTCAAACACTTATCACTTTTCCTGGTGCACATTCACATTTCTTATGCCTCGTGAAGAGCTGTTTGTTTTCCGTTTATCGCTGTGGAGAGCTCCTTCTATATTCTGGACAAGTCCTTATCTGATAGATGACTTACAAATGTTTTTCTCCCTCTCTGTGGCTTAGCTGGTTTCCAAATATTTGGGATTTTCCCAGATGTCTCTTGGTGTTCATTTCTAATTTAATTCCATCGTGGTTAGAGAACATATTTCGTCTGATTTGAATCCTTTAAAACTTATTGAGAATTAATTTGTGGCCCAGAATATGGTCTGTCTTGGCAAGTGTTCTGTGTACACTGAAAAGAATATGTATCTTGCTGTTGTTAGGTGGAGTGCTGTGATAATGGCAATCAGGCCAACTTGGATTGTGATTCTGTTCAAGTTTCTATAGCCTCATTGTCATTCTGCTTACTTGATTTTCAAAAATCTTATTACTTGGGGACGGCTCAAAAGTAGCCACATGGTAGGCCTGAGGCCTTGAGCTTGATCCCCAGTGCCACCCACATGCACTGGAGGCCCTGCTGTTTGGGGTCAATCCTGCTGTGTGTGAGCACTGCAATAAGAGGACCCACCCCCACTAGCACAAGGGCAAACACTGAAAACTAAAGCATGCAATGACCAGTCTTCACAGTAACAATAGAGAAGGAGGAGCTGGAACCCAAAAGGAGAGAGAGAGAACAAAAGGGAATGCCCTAGCACAGAGGCGGAAGGGGAAGGGGGGGATGGAAGGGTGGGAGGACTACTGGGACCATTGGTGGTGGAAAATGGGCACTGGTGGAGGGATGGGTACTCGATCATTGTATGACTGAAACCCAAGCACAAAAATTTGTAAGTCTACAACTGTACCTCATGGTGCTTCACTAATTAAAATTTAAAAAAAAAAGGAGGAGATGGAGCAATAGCACAGCGGTTAGGGCGTTTGCCTTGCACGCGGCTAACCCAGGTTTGATTCCCAGGATCCCATATGGTTCCCTGAGTACCGCCAGGAGTCATTCCTGAGTGCAAAACCAGGAGTAATCTCTGAGCATTGCCGGGTGTGACCAAAGAGGAAAAAAAAATACTATTAATAGAGAAGGGAACATAAGTGTGTGTGTGTGTGTGTGTGTGTGTGTGTGTGTGTGTGTCTGTCTGTTTGTCTGAGTTTGCATGCATGTATGGAGGGGGAGGAGGAATCTTCATTTCTTGGAGCAGATCCAAACCTCTCTACGGTCTACTGCGATCAGATCAGCCTGTGAAAGGATTTCATTGCTTGTCTCTCTCCATTGCCACAAGTAGTGTCATTCAGCGGCTATTTCCGGTTCAGTGCTTGAGGCCATTCTCAGTAGGGCATGGGGTTAGAAACTGGGATTCATGCATGCAAACATGTAATCAAGCCCACTGAGTCATCTCTCTGTCCCCTATGAAGATTTCTTTTTCTTGGGATATTAGCTATTATGTTTTTTTTCTCCATAGCTATTGGTGCTCGGGGAACCAACTGGGGTGCCAGGGATCAAATCTAGTTGGCCACATACAAGGCAAGAGACCTACTGACTGCATTATCTCTTTGGCTCTATTTCTTTAACTTTTTTGGCTAAAAAAAATCTAAAGTTGAGAGCTGGAGAAATAATAATGAGAGCCCAGCAAGCTACCGAGAGTATCTTGCTTGCACGGCAAAGCATGGCAAGCTCCCCATGACATATTCGATATGCCAAACACAGTAATAACAAGTCTCACGATGGAGATGTTACTGGGCCCGCTCGAGCAAATCGATGAACAACGGGAGAAGAGTGCTACAGTAATAATCATAACTAAAAAAAAAAAAAAAAAGCCAAGAACCTGCCATGAATACAGTCAACCCGGATTCAATCCCAGGCACTGCGTCTGGTTCCCTGAGCTACTGCTGTGTGTAATGCCAAAACAAATAAACAAAAACTACAAAAGTCTTTAGCTCACCTAATTTTTTTGAATGAATTGAAATGAGCAGAGAATATAGGGGAGATTTTCCTTTCTTCTCCTCACAGGTACTGGCTCGCGTAACACTTTGGATGGCTTTTGACCAAAAAAAAAAAAAAAAAAAAAAAATCAGTTGCCAATTTATCTTTTTGTTTTGCTTTTGTTTTTGGGTCACACCCAAAGTCCTGACATGCTCAGGGATGCCAGGGATCAAACCCAGGCCCTGGCATACAAGGCAAGCAAGTTACCCATCCGCTGTACTATCTCTCCAGGTCCAACTGCTGTAGTTTTCTTGAAGCTTCTTGAGGTTTGTGGAGCATCTTGAATCTGTTTCTAGTTTCTATTAATTAGGGGGGAAAAATTGCCCATCCTTTCTTCGAGTATTTCCAGTCCTTTTCTCTCTTTCCTTTGAGACCTTCTGTGTTCTTCACCACTTGAAACTATCCCAGAGCTCAGTAATGTACTCTTCCCTCTATCCCTGGCTTTTTCCTGTTTTCTCCTGGAGAGTTTCTACTATTATGTCTTCAAGTTAAACAATCTTTTTTTTTCCCCCTGAAACATCTAATCAACCAATCATCAGAGTATTTTTCCATTCCAGATGCGATAGCTTTCATCCAGAAGTTCACCTTTCTTTTTTTCTATCTTCTTTGTGTCTACTTAGCATGTTAAATATTTTAATTTTAATTTTTTTTCTGCTTTTGGGCCACACCCGGTGGTGCTCAGTGCTGACTGTTGGTGAAACTTGGGGGAGCATCTGCGGTACCAGGGGTAGAACCTGGGTCAGCTGTGTGCAAGGCACATGCCCCGCCCACTGTTCTAACCCCAGCATGTTAAATCACTGCTTGAGTTTGTCAGACACATGAGAATTACAATTTTAATGCCCCTGATGATTCTGTCATCGACCTCCTTTTCTCAGGCTAGGTTCTATTCTGCCCATTTGCATGTGTGCTTGTAACTCTGGGCTGGCAGTCAGACACTTCAAGGTCTTCTCTTGAATTTTTTTTTTTTTTAGTTTCAGGGCCACACCTAGTGGTGCTTAGGGCTTACTCCTAGCAATGTTTGGGGGACTGCATGGGGTGCCAGGGATTGAATCC